AGTACTGAAGCTAAATTTTTAGGCAAAGTGAATGCTGAACTACTCAGAATTCTTCCTCACAGTCTAGAAGATCATCGCATATCAAGTGCCCTCTTCTGTGACAATGATGCCGAGCACTGTGTGATCAACGGTAAATATGAAAGGCCCATAAAGATTGTTATTCAAGGACTGGCATCTACTACTAGCAGACAAAGTATAGTCAACGCTATCACTGAAAAAGGATTTTTACAGGAAAAATAACTCAACTCACCAGAAGGAAAACAAGAGCTCCTATGCCAGTATTCATGGTGCAAGTCATCAAAAATCAAAATGCTGAAAAAATATATCAGGTTCAGGATCTTCTTTTATTTTCTATATAGAAAAATTCGTGTCAAAGAACCAAGTACCCCAACGCTGCAATTGTTAGAGGTGGCATCACTCCTCTGAAAATTGCTTTTTTACCCCACGTTTTGTCAAATGTTCTCTTGAACATAAAACCAAGGATAGCCCTATGCCTGGACGTCTAGAAGAACCAAGGTGCAGCTACTGTAATGGAACTCAGGCTGCATCATATCGAGGATGTGCTAAATTTCCTAAAAATAAGCCTGTTCAACCAAGAAGAGACAATTTTGTCAAAAAAGAACTTATGCTGACATGCTGATATGCTGTGATGGCTAAACGACAACTTGAAAATCCAATTTTTAAACCTGCTGAAAAATCTCCCTCCAGTCGTTTTCTGTTGAACATACTGAAAAAAATGATAAAAAAAAATTGTGAATAATACTCATGTTTCTGAAAAAAAAAAGTAGTAATAGTAATCCTAGTGTTAATACTAATGTGAAAAATGTTATGCATAATATTAATGATAAAAGTCAAGTTTCTGAATTTTTAAGTTTCATTAAGCATGTTTCTGACTTAAATGAAATATTTGTCGTTAACAAAATTTATGTTCCTTCTTTCATAAATGTTTATGCTAAAACCAGAATAAAGACAACAATAACCATCAAAGTTGATTTTATTTTCCACCACGGAACTGATAATTCTGGGTCGAACATGTGATGATGCGTTAATGATGTGATGTTTTGAATAACGTTATTCAGTTTCTTAAGTAACATTAAATGAAATAAAATGATTAGATTTCAACATTGATCAATTTAAGTTCGCTAATAACTTTATAAAAAGTAAGTGAGAAAAATTAATTATTTTCTTTTGGAAGCTGAGCAGTTTTAGTTTACCATATTTCATACATATAACGATATACATTTTGTTTCCATAACAGAGCATCAACACTTACCTGAGACTCCTGCGTGCGGCTGCCGAGCAGAGATATGGCCATCCCTGGTACGTAACTTCATCCGCCGTTTTATTACCTGAATCGATGCAGTGCAATGGTGCTACTTCTACAAACCTGATTCGTCCGCATTAACATAATAGCAATTTTTAGCGTTTTTAGTATAGTTAATTATCCTTATCGTACATAGTTATCGAAGTCACCCCACAAATTTAACTTTATGATGATGCTATTAATTTCTAAAAGAATGATTTTTGTCCATACCGCTTTTTTAGAATAGATTTAATCATGATGGCGTTGTCTGAGAGAGATTATTTAATTTCCAGTACTGTCTGCATAAATATTTGAAATGTTTGCATAAATATTTTACTGCAATAGAATTACAGTAATTTTTTCCGAAAACAATTCTTTGGGTAGTTAGTTTTAATAGCCTTAGGCACTTATAAAATCCCATCGAAATTGTCAAATTTTTAAACATACTTACTTAATAAACATTAAAACAACTGTAGATATTCACATTTCAAGACTTCGAGTGCTTGATCTGACTCTAGAATGAAGTTATTGCAATACAATGCTTTCAAACTACATGTTTTCATGAACGCCATATGTCATTATTGTATGTTTCGTCCTTCCAACCAGAAAATTCACAGTATTCTCTTTCTAGATTTCGCCCTAATAGCAGTAGAGCGCAAGTCGCTGAACATTTAAAAAAGTTCCACTCGGGTTCAAATTTTGGCGAATGAGATGGGAGTTTTCGTGGTTTTCCTCAAGTATAACATGGATACCAATCAGTTTTCCTTAAACGTTCTCCACGAAGGCATCCTTGCCCATAGGCTGACAGGCCTCGCGTTACACTGTCTTAATCAATTAACTTGTTCTAAACTAACCTCTTCCTAGGTTTCACCAATGATCATTTGCTTTTGCAGAGATTAGTTTTTGGGCGGAATAAAACTTCGTACAGTAGCTTAAGTACTCTTTTTTGAGATATGAGTTCACCTATAATAATAATGAGGTTATGTTGTTGTTTAAGAAGTTTAATGAGGTTATGTTGTTACTGAGGTCATTAATGATGACCCTCTTACATTTGCAATGGCGGTTGGAAGTAATTTCTACGTCCCGTTATTTCGATTATAAAACATACTTCTGAGTTTTAGAACAACCAATAAAGAAAAAGAATTTAGTTTAATGTAAATAAAATAATCTAAGTAAAATGCCAAAATACATTTAACAAATACTTTTATTAAAATACGTTGATCTAATAATAACAATAATATAGCTATGTAAATTAATAAAAAAGAGACCCCAATTAAATCGAAATATTTAGTAATAAGGAAACGTCTCCGATTTTATGATACATTTTCATTTTAGTGACTTTATGACCGCATTATATGCATCTAATAAATATACTCGAAAGTTTTAGACCCATCAGTTGCTCTGTGGGTAAGGACTGCTAAAAACGTTTTCGCTCGGAGAGTCGCCCATGAAGCTTTAGAGAATAAACCCACTATGCTTTATCGTAATAAGTTAAACTAAGTTTATAAACAACCTAAAAAGGTAAAATGTAAAAAAAAAGTAGTCAATGTTTTTAGTTTTAAGAGATTTTTTCTCTATTAAAAACAACAAATAGCTAAGGCTGCTTGTTCAGAAAGAGAACAGCAACGGGAAATTCTCTTTGAATATGATAGAATAGGAATAGAAATACAGGAAAATAATCTTTATATGCATGCATTCTATTCATTCCCACGTTTATTGAGTATATCAAAACTTCTCTATCTTTTGACGTAATAATATCCGAAAAAATCCTTCTGAGGCGCAACCGCAGGATATACTTCCATTTATGGAAATGTTTTAAAAGATACAAATATTTTTAAATTTAAAGAAATAAATTTTATAAAAATTCTGAGCTCTAATTTTTATATGTTGCTTCGGTTCCTATACTTACATTTACGAAAATTTAATACTTATTACAAAAAATAAAACACGAAATGTGGGACTCTAAGCCAGAAACTGTCTGTGATAATTGATATTAAAGACGAACATCATTTTCAGGGCTGTACACAAATTAAGGAGCGAAACGTTTGAGTTTGTATGTAACTAAAAATAAAATATTTATTTTGAAAATGGTATCTGACGTTTAGAGATTAAGTAACAACTAGTTGTACGTAAATTATTGTGAAAAATATTAAACAGTATAATTATTTTCAAATACATCTCTTATTCACAGAATGTTATAGAATTCGTGTTCTAAAAACACTGGTAGGAATCAGTATTGGTCCTTAGCCAACTCGTAAAAGTATTCCCATTAATTGTAAATGAAACTTTTTTGTAGTTTAGTGAATTTTTTGTACGATTATCAAATTATGTTTTATAGAAATAAAACTTCATGAGAATATTATTAATGCCTTTTAAAACTTTAAATAAACTTACTGATATTTGAAGAAACTTAAAAATTTCTTGAGTGAAAATTCTTTGGGTATATGAAATGTAATAAAATTATACATTAAAGGTACTATACATCACCAAATGATTGCACTGGATGGCATTTAAGACATAAATGTGGAATTATTTTAATTTATTTAATAACAGACCTCTCAATATATATTAAATATGGCTTCAAAAACTGAAAATTTTGAAATTAAATATCTCTGTCAGTTTATATCCATTTTACGGGAGCCGTTTTTGTATTATATGATTCTTAAGAAATATAACACTTAAGAAGTATAATATAGTACAGGGACCGGTGAAAGGTATAAGAGATTAAATTTTGTAATTTTTGCAAAATTGATATCTTTAAATTCAAAAAAGCCAAACAGGAATATTTGTGTCATTTAATACATTTTTGTAACTGGAAGTATAGGTCTACGATTGACGGCTGCGAAGCTAAAGGCCTTTACGAACTTTGTGGACATGATGTATATGCCCTTCTTCTAAGCTCTAGCAACAGCCGAGTGTTACGACCCCTGAATGCTGGGAGTTCGACCTATGCTCGATCCCAGGAGAAAAAGCTGGCTGCAGGTTTGCTTTCATGCTTGGGTAACGTGAACTCAAGCTATTTTCTTTAGAAAGTCATCCATGAAAGTATGTATTCTCTTAAGCCGTTGTATACGTTGTTATATTCAAACGACGTAACTTAACCTAACCTTACTTCTGAAACTTAAAAACAATTATAAATTACATTTGAAAAAGTAAAATCTTTCCATCTGTATGTTATGAGGATCTCAATAAAAATTTGCATATTTCTCAACAGAGAAGAAATGTGCTAAGAATAAATATATATCGAAAACATTTTGTCAACTTCTTAGTCCTGAGTCGTATTTTAAAAGCAAATTAGTGGAATGTTTTCTTCAGCGGACATCTTCTACCCAAAGATCAGCTCGACTAGTAAGTGCATCACTTACCGGACATTCGGGGGAGAAAAGTAAAATTCACAGCATTCATAAACAAATATTCTTTTTGGTCGCGCTCTGATGTGATTCTATTCTTTAATATTCTTATATCTTGGTTCCGAGAATTAATAATAACCATTGTGATGAAAAAACATGGAATAGGAATCGATGGTTATCTTTTGCTCGCGCTGATGGTTTTATTTTAATACTAACACTTTCATCCGGGCGAGAGGCGGAATTTCACTTGGCGACAAATTGCTTGGCTGATTTTGGCGACATTTGACGGATAGTACAGTAGTTTTTAGAGAAGAATCGTCTCTTCACTCTCCACCTCATCTTCAGCCTCAAGGTATACGTCTGCTCTCGCGCTCGGGCTTCTGAACGACACTGTCTTTTAAAAGAGACGATCATTTATAGATACGGATTATGGAAAGGAAATTAATCCAATGGCTTCCGTCCTGTTGTCTGTTATACCTTCTCTGTTTTCACTCCTGACTATGCTGTACCTCATATCCGAAAACAGTTTTGTTCCTCGAACGAGCATCGGTTTTGATTCCGAGTATGACTATATTATTGGTGAGTACGCAACTTTTTTTGTTTTGGAAGAAAAATATTTAAAAATTACTTAATGCAGGCTCTAGTTTAAAATAATTCATTTTATTGTATTTTAGTGGCTACTTACGCTTTTTCACATTTTGAAAAATAAATATCTTTTTTAATTTTCGTTAAGATTATTTAAATACTACTTTTTAAAACTAAATTCCATCATTTCGGAATATTTGAATATACTTTTGTTAACTGAGTATTATGCTAGCAACGTTAACATGAATGCCACATAAAAAAAAATTAAACTTTTAATGCTCAAATTATGACAAGAAATCTTGTCAGTTCTGTTCAAAAGAATGTAATTAAAAGAATAGTGTAGCACTGATGTTAAAAAACTTTTAAAACCTATCCTTTTCCTTTTTGTCTCTTCATATTGCTCCATGAGATTGCAATATGCTGTTTTTTCTCACTGCATTTATGAGGTATTTCTCCCGCCTTCCTAGCGTGCCTTCATGGTGTAGTGGTTCTGCACACTGGCCGGTATTCCAGAGGTCCGTGGTTCGATTCCTGGAGAAGGCGGTTGCTAATTTTTCATCTTACCTGCTTCGAAAAAAACCCTAATGTCTCTACAGGGATGTCCGAAGTAAAAAAGGGTTGTGGATGATGACTCTCTACACAGGATTTAGCAATTGAGTCCCCCCCAAAAAACCCAGTCGCATTTTAAAAGTGGGAGTATATAAGGTATTTCTCCCGCCTTCTTAGTGTGCCTTCGTGGTCTAGTGGTCAGCACACTGAGCCAGTATTTCAGAGGTCCGTGGTTTGATTCCCGGCGAAGGCGACTGCTAATTTTTCATCCTGCCTGCTTCGAAAAAAATCCTAATGTCTCTATACATTAAATACCTGCAAATTATTTGTTCTATCAATGTAGTAGCTCTCTGCGTAAAGTCAACGTGAAGTTGCTACATCCCTCCCTCCTTTTACTAATAAGGTACAATTCTAAATATGTATTCCGTAAAGAACTATATATAAACATACTGTATATAAGAGTTCTGGGGTATTCATCCTGGTGAAATCTTATTAATTGGTTGTAATAAAAGGATTCTTCATACCTGACTCTGGGGTGAGTCTTCATCTTTTACTTTTTGAATACTCCCATCAGAACAAAACTGAGGGTCACACCTTCATTTTAGGAATCTTTCATTATTTATCTGATATTATTTTATTATATTTCTGAATATTTGTTTCGAGTGTAGAGCAGAAAATTTTAGAGACCTTTATGTCCCGGTATATCCTTAAACAACATTTTGATTTACGACCGTATTATACCAATTTGTTTATTTGTTAAATATGAAATTTCTGTTCAGTATCAACTTAACAGCACTTTCTTTTGAATTTCTCTTCTAAACAAAGAGAAAAGCACTGCATAAATGAAATATGCTTATCAATGATACTATGGATTAATACTGACTTAGCTTGCTACTAATCAATCCCTTAGCATTATGGTACTTCTTGATTTTAATTATTGAAACTGAAAGATGTGTTAAGAGCTTCGTTGGGTTTTCCCTAAGCAACGTGACTGTCATTACCACTTAATATATTTATTTGTCAAATGCCAGTTACATTGGCCATTAGACCATTAAACTCCTTGCTTGCCAATAACGCTGAAATCTACAAGAAAAATTTGTCAGTGCTTCACACTCGTCCAAATGTTCCGCTGTCATTGGCCGTCCACTAATTCATAAAACAAACAACAGCGAATCAGCTAGTCCAATGAGAAATAAATGACTCTGTAGACAGTCATGTCCCGTCAATAGTCTAAGAGATGCAACCGCAACTGTTCGCGAGTGGTCAGGAAAAAAAGATGGGTTTGTTGAGAGAACACTCCAAGGCTTGCTCTCACAAGCCTGAGTGGCAAAATCTCTAAGGCTGCTATCACATGTCATTTTGTTTCGGAAGAACAACTGTTTGGAACAATTCTTCTGCTTTGTCACAACAGCCAATCACCATAGATCGCTTTGGGGTTAACACAGGGGGAAACTGGTTCGTCATTACAAACAAGCTGATAGCATTCGAAGCTGATAGCTGATTAGTTGAAAACGAACAACTTGCAATATTTTTTGGAAAGGCAGGAAAAAGTCGCACGTCTTTCTTTCAGTAGTAAACCAGGCAGAAAAATTGTCCGAAACATTTGTTCGTATGAAACAAATGCCGTGTGATATGGGCCTAATAAAAGTCTTTTGATATGTTAGCGATGTCAGAAGCTTAATAGAATGGAGGCTTGCATTCGTTTTTGGCTTTTGGAGAACCGTAGCCCTTTTTTTGGCAAGCATATCAGCCATCTCATTCCCATAAATAACGCAGTGGGAAGGTACCTATTGAAAAGATATCTTGTGGGAAAGTTCTTTTATGACTTCCTGACATTGCTGAACGCATATGTTCTTACACTCTTGATAAGAAGAGATGGCCTGTATTGTAGAAGTCGAATCAGACAGTACAACAGCCCTCCTGAACGAGCTCTGTCTCAATGATAATTGTTTGAGAGTTACATGAATGGCTTTCAGTTCTCCATCAAAGTGAGTAAAGTAAGCCCCTACAGGTATGTAGAAACTGAAAAGCTTGTTAAAAACTCCAGCTCCAGGCCCCTGGATCCTATCGGTCAAAGAGCCATTCGTATATACATGTATCCATTCCTCAGCCGGAAAATGTTGCTCGATTGTTTCCAAAGCTGTAGTTCTTATTTGCTCTGAACTCATTTCCTTCTTATCTACTTTCATTTCCAGGTCCAACCATACATCAAGGAATCTATAATCCAAAGGATTTAACAAAAACAGCAGTGCCGGTTTCAGTGTTCTTATATGATTTTATTGTTCTAGGTGAGAGACACACTGCAAAAAGCCATGTTGTGTCTTCAGATTTCGTTGTTTATTATAATCATAATTCCTCCAGTGAGGGTTACTTGGTAGACGAATAAGTCTCTGGAAAAGGATGAAAGCATTTTTCTGAATCAGGTTTGCCATTGGTTGGTTTGCCGATACCAACTGCATTGCCAGAATGGGAGTCGTTTTAACAGCCCCGGTTATAATGCACAGTGCCTGATTTTGGAATACCTCCAGACGTTGTATCACATCTCGCGTAGCCGAGATAATATTTCACAGCAATAATTAGCATTGGTCAAATATACATTTTATACGTCGAGTTGAGAGTCTCTCTACCACAACCCCATTTAACACCTGCTAAGCGTTTAAGAATAGGTAATCTACGCTGCGCCTTAGCAACTACATGCTCTGAATGCTTTCTCCAGGTTAAGCGCTTGTCAAAAATACAGCCATGATAGGTGGCACTATCTGTCTATTTAATATATTGGGATATTTTTTATTTAATTTGGTATTTTTAGTAGAATTATGATTAAAATTATTTTATATTCCCGTGCAATGCAGCACGAGACTTATTTGAAGAGAAAGCTACGCCGGAAAAATTAAAACACAGGAGCACGCGCATTTAACATTTTAATAATAGATATCTCGTAATTGCACTCCTTTGCTATCCAGAAAAGTCGAGAAAATACGAGAAGATTCTTGTGAGTGATTTAGAAAGCTTATAAAAGCTGGAAGAAAACATCTCAATTCAATTGTTTAGCAATTGTTTAGAAAACTGTTGTTGTTTATTGTAGCGAATTCACGGCGAGATCGGATTAGTTTTCTCTGCGTTTCCGTTTCTCTGTTTAGAATTATGTTCTGTTTAATGTTTTAGTAGTTAAAAATATAACTATTGTAAGATTCAGTTTATGGCTCAACATTTTATATAGCTACTGGATTTCATGGATTTCATGTAATTGTTGGATATTGTACATCTATCTCTGAAGAAATTTTAGCATTTTGTTTTATTTGCTGTGATAAGAATAAATTTTATTCACTTTTAATCGGACTTATGCATTCAATTTATTACGAACCCGTACGCATGCAGCAATATTAAATTTTGTCTTTTCACTTTAGGTAAAACAAGTATGGTAGTCTTTCCCATATATTGACAAGAATTTATTTCATATGGTTTGATATTTAAAGAAAAGTCAGAATTTAAAATATTTTTTTGTTTAATTTATATTATCAAAACATTCTCGGAGAATTTTTAAAAACTTCTGATTGATCGTATAAAGTGGAACATGGTGAAAATTATTTGGTCTATGTGTTCTCATATATATAATCAAATGTATGAATATACAGGCACATTCATCAAAATAGTATTATTTCTTAACTCTTGCTTCCAGTTTACTTAATTAAGATGGGATGTTTTCATAAAAGCAATGTATGCTGAGCTTTTGGAACAGATACATAAAAATTACCGATACTAATTAAATGAAGCAACAGCGCAAGTAAGATCTAGACAGCGCCAAATTTCTAAGAAATCCAAATTGAAAGGAGTAGTATTTTGCAAGCGATAATTTTGACTAATACAGAAAATTATAGTTTTTATACCACGAATAGAAAGGTATGCGAAACTTTTGCAAGCAGACCTTATTTTGCTTCTTTCTGCTTAAATGGTTGACCCTGTGTACTCTGAGAATGGAGCATTGTGTAAATAATCACCTTATGTATATTGATACTGAGGATGTTTGAGTAAGTTATTACAATGTTATATATACTGAAATATTGTCTTAAAGAATTAGTATATTTCCAACAGAAAATCCAATTCGAGATGGCTATGTTTTAAATATTTTAATTCTTGCGAAACAGCATCGGGAATGAATACCAATGAAAAAACACGAGTGATATTATTATTACATTCTTCATACGTTATTTGACATAAGTATTTGTAAATAAAATGAAATATGAAATCGTTCACTGAGAGACACCGAATTTTAAATGGTATGGAAAACATGTTTATTGAAAACATTCGGATAAGAAAAAAGAATAAACATTTAACAGATTATCATAATATACAGGGACACCTTTCTGTATAAGTTGATATTTTTAAAGACGAAGTAATTGTTAAATTTAACGAACATTTGCAGTTGATTTTACACAAACTTCTAT